CATCCATGCAAGAACAATGACCAACAAAGGATAGAGTGGATTGGCATATTGTCCTTTCAACTTCTTGGGGGGTGGTGACTTGTGATTCTAGCTACAAATGATAATAAAGTCTCCTTTGCCTCTTGGATGAAGGGTCCTCCACAAAATGAGTTTGGGTAATCTAGGCCTATTTCTTAGCATACATGGTCTCATAGCACAAAACATCTTAATTTAGCACTCTCACTCAGAGAGGCCACAAGACTTGAGGTGCAAAAATGAAAAATGCCACCACATTAATGAAGTAGGGATTGTGGAGTTTCATTCAGAGCAGAAAGAACGTTACTATCTATCAGACCAGGTTACACCTGCATGTCTGCAGCTGACCAAACCTGGTGCCTAAGATGTTAAAAGTCCTATTTCCCAGCATTAATAACTTTCACTTTGAGCACAAAATTCCCCAGAACTAGACTTTAAAAATCATGAACACAACCACAAGTATACTTTCCCAGAATGAAAATTGCTGGCATCTGTTAAGGGAAGCCATGAGGTTGTTTTAGTCCATCGCTGTTTATTATTTTTCAAAGAAAGAGTTAATTTTTCAATTGAAGAATCAAAATTGCAGATGCATTTATTCCACGTTTAAGACAATTTACTCATCCACATTTTCTCTCCCCAGTGATCTGATGCGTTAAGGCATCCAGACCATAAAGATGATAAAATCGCAGATTCAAATCTCAGTCTGTACTGAATTAGCATAACTCAAGGCAATAGAACTGGCAGGAGAAAATAAGCATTTACTCAACAATCAGTCATTTCACAGCTCATATTTACAGATTGGTCAAACATGTAGGTGTGGATCTCAATACCACAAAATTGTACAAGTTCTGGGAATCAAAACCCAAGATAATTTTCTTTCCATTGCACAAGACTCCCCTCTGCTCAGTACATCTTATGAATTCGGCTGGAGTTTTCAGCTTTCATCCACTGGAGTGATCATCAACTTTCTAAACAAAGTTCACTTATAGTTTTGAAATTTTTTATAGTCTTTACTTCCACAGATTAACCTTAAACGAAATAAGCAGTAGATTCACTGACTTTGAACTTAATCATCAGTTAACACAGGCTTCCTCCCTTGTAAGAATTAACCCTTTTGTCAGCAAACTTCCAACTCTAAAAAGTATAATACATGAAAACCTTTCATGCCGTGATCACTTTATACAGGAAGGGGCCATCTGTCAATTGTACTGAGTCTGCCTAATAACCCTTGTCCATAAATTTGTACGTCTCCATTCAATTAATGACTTGAATCCACACAGTATGGAATTGCCCCATCTCGTGAAGACATCAATGAAATACCATTCCCGCCCCACCCTAAGCCCTCACTGTATATAGGTCCAGTTAAAGTGTCATCTCTTACAAGCATCAAGGAAGGTTCAATATTAAAACTGTACTGCAGTTGCAGGTGCTTGCATCCCTAACTCCATCACTGCTGGGGTTTAGGAAGTGTGTAAATTAATATGTATTATATACCATAGGACATATTCAGATCTGAGTAAATCCAGCTGTTCTGAACTATTTTTGAAGTTCTCTGCAAATATGATCCTCTCTCAAGTTGCAAGTACATGTCTATGTACAAGTTTGGTATTTTTCCAGAGTGTCTCTCAATGGCTGGGGAGTGGGAAGGGGATGCTGTGAGCATTTCTAGTGCATTTCTAGGAATATGCTTAGCTGCTGTTGAATTATCATTCATTTGATTCATGTATTTTTGTACATTGAAGGGTGTGAATACTAATCTCCAGGGAAACTAAGTGCATCAGCAAACATCTTCCACCTTTGTTAATTCCTTATGGATATGATCTGCGGGAATAGGCAAAGAGATAGACTTATCACATAACAATTATGGAGTTCTGTTGGGCTCATGGGCAAGGATTTTCATGTAACTCTGCTCGCATTCCTCTGTAGCACTGACTGTTTGCTTGTGGTTACTTCAACTAATCCCTTAACTTTTTTTTCCCCGACAGCAGCTTTGAATATGAAGTTGAGTTTCTGTTGTGATATTGCCTCCAGGAGTGGAGTCCTTTAGAAGGTAGAGCAGCCTCTATTCTCTTCATACATTCTGGAGCTGGGATGGCTTAGAGCTTCGCTAAGTAGCATTATAAAAGGCAAGTTGTATAACTGGCTACTTAATATTCAAAAAGCTCTTGGGTCATTCAATGCACAGCCCAAGAACTTTGAAGGGACAATTTTCAGACCATGACTTAGTTGATTTATACTGCTTATAGGTTGTGAATCAAGGTGCTGCCACAGACAACATGAGCTGCTAAGAGACTCTCAGTGTGATTCCTTATTGCATCGGTGACCCAGCTTGAATTTGTACTGTATTGTTTCCTGCAAAGTAGAAGGTGCATATTGGTGAGAAATATGGTTTCCTCTTTCTGCAGTCTTCACAGTTGCAGCCAAAGTAAGTCAAAGCCCAACTGAGCAGCATGAAGCAGCTCCCAATCCTAACCTTGCACCATTCTGCAAGGCCATGCATCAAGACCAAGACGTTCATCTTGACGTGTCTGACAGTTTGGCTGCTATATTGATTACACGCGCCTCAAATCGTAGATCAGTTACTGGAAAAAAAAGTACCATTAACGCGAAACCCATCCCATAGCAAAGCTCCCTATCATTTCTCATTCCGTTTGCATATCAGCTTTCAGGAGAACATGTCAACAGGAACTGGGCTGCGTCCTCTAGAGTCTCATTAATACCAAAACTGCTTTACCTCCAGCACTAAAAATCACAGGTTACTGGCCCAGCAATCATTGCAGTGCATCAACAGTCTGAACAAGGCACCTCACTGACTACTAAACATACACAAACAACTCACTGGGAATCAATTAACTTCAGAAACCTTTGATTTCATGATCACAATGAAACATTAAAACTGCCCAATCCATTTCTAAATCCGACATAGTCTCTCAGAATAGTCCCGAGCTGCTCCTGGTCTTTGCAGAATGATTGCAGTGTGTGTGGTGGTTCTTAGGTTTGATTTGTGATACACAGGCTTTCACCTGACTTCATGCTAACACACTATACATAAAGAAAAAAAATCTCATTATCAAACATTCTACAACACACGCGCACACAAAATCACACACGCACACAAAAACATATACACAAACATGAGGAACTTCAATCATAGTATCTCCCTCAAATCTCCTCCATGTTTGTTAATTGGGGATATTATTTTTCCTTATTCCAGCTACTCAGAGATCCAATTCGACTACTTTTATGTTATTTTGTTTTCAAATAAAGTGGAATAAAATAAAGAACCTATTTAAAAACACGATTCTGTGCCACATGAAACAAGATCTTGTTAATACGCATCAATACCGCATAAGTCAGTGTTTCATTCAGCAGAACGAGGTTGAACTTCTTTTCCTTTGTAAATTCATACAAACGTGCTCAATAGCCCGGATTGCTCGCAACATATGAGTGACAAACATGCGACCATTTGCATCCCAACCCTAAATATGCAGGATAGCTATGGGGGTGGGGGGAGGAGGCAGAAAATGTAAAAATTAAAGTTCTCAAGAATAGTCCAAAATTAAAGCACATCAACATGGTGCACAAAGGAACAAGTCAACAATGCACGAAAGATTCTTTGTGAGCTAGGAGTTTAGAGTTCATCCAATGTCAGTGAACAGAAAAACAGAGTGAAATAGATAGAAATGTACATGTATTTAACAAGTGCTCTTGGCACTTCAGCAGTGACAACTACAAAGCAATAGTGCTGCAGCAATTAATAAACTGATGAGGGTAAACCAACCAATCCTTTGGGTGCACACCGAGACTTCAGAATACTGTCTCTCTTCACCCACCCCAGCTCCATGCATTTCCACCTGGTCCATTCAACATTCTCAAGCTTTTCTTGTATCTTATGTCCCACACTGAAGTCCGCTAAGTACTATTATACTGTCAGGTTACACAGTGTATGGAGGCATCATCACATAACACAAATGCAACATATATACCATTTTTGTTAATTATTTTCAAATCCCATCAAGTATCTGTCACACAACATAATTTCATAATATTAAATACAACATAAACCTGCTTTAAATTATGGATCCAACTAATATACTTATTGTCTATAACAGCCTTACTGGGATATGGATTTTGCACCTTACTGAATCAGAAACAAACATACAGACAGGTCAAATAGTTCCTGCATGAACCCAAGATGAAGTGTGGCAATTATTAAATCCAAAGAAGAAGTGGGAGAAAGATGGAATAATCCATCGCATCTGTACATTTTCCACACACAAAACAGTTAAAAAAAATTAGGATTCCTGCTTATTGAAGCTGGCTGCATTCTTATCTGGAGGAAACTAGCAGCTCAGACTGCAAAAAAAGAGGAAGAGATAACAAGCGATCTACAGGAAGACAAATGAGGAGGAAATGATCTGAGCCAAATTTATGCAAATTCATTACATTACAAGAGGAAGGAAAATTATTCAAACTAGTTTATATTCTGAAGTAATGTGCTGTATAAAATATGCATTTCAGAAATATTAACTGTTGGAGAACACTTGCATGGATTATGGTATTACAACAGTGTTTTCTCTATACACTTGTGTGTTTGGGCCATCAATTATATCTCGACAATACACCTACCAGTACTTAAAATCCATGGCTGGCGATATAATGTCGAACTTGAAAGTGTTTTTGTATTATTCATGTGTAACTGCTCAGCCCACAAAGCGCAATGAACACACAGTGGGAACATTACTGCTCCAATAATGCATGCAATTTTAGTACAATCATAAAACACTTTTCTTGGTATTAAAGTACACGGACACATTGTTGTTTCTTACGTAATGACAAGAGGACTGAACTGGCGTCAAACAAGATTTGATCACCGGAAAGAAGCTCCAACTATTTTTTTTTTGGTTTGCTTTTTTAAAAAAGAAAACCTTTAGTTTTAATCGTTCAATTGAAAATATACCAAGTTAAATATATAAAGCAGGTACCTGTATGATGCTCCGATATACAAAACTCTGTTTCAAATCAATAATCCTGATTAAAGAAAAACAAGGACCACATGAGTACTTTCTATTATACAATTTACAAAAAATATTTTTTGTAACATGAGAAACAATACACCTTGAGATGTGCCAGATTTTCACTCATTCGAAATGTTATGAGAATTAAAGAAAGCATTTGTAGTTCTGCTGACATATTTGTTTATTACTTGATTTACAATGGAAACAGAATTTGAAAACAATTGCATTAGAACTTGAATGTCTTAAAAGGAAGCCCGAGGAAAACAGACTAAATCTGTTCTTATCCCGAAGCAATCACTTTAATAATTGACATCTGTATTATACTCCATCGCAAAAATCTTAATTTTTCCCTCTGTCATGTACCTCGGTAAATCATTCTTTGTTCTTTAAAAAGGAAAACTCTTTTTTTAAAAAAAGAACACAATGTGTAGAAAGGCAACAATCAAACCCAGAACAAAAGGTGGTGGCTGCAGTTACACAGGTCTTTAAAGAAACAACATTTTATTCCAATTGAACGTGGCAGTATTTCACAACTGATAAATTCTACAAATATACAACAGGGACAACATTTCTATCAAATAATCTGTTCAAGATGGAAAACCTGTTCTTAATGTGCTAAGCACAAATCTCCAGATTTCCAATTTTATTCCAATATATACGTCCAGAGATCATTGTTGTTGCTCAATTATTAAGATGGCTATTGAGCATCTATTATTGAGTGACAGATAGAGGTGTCAATCCTAATGACAACTTTTACCATTGGATATTTGATTCATTCTCACTGTCTTGGCTACAACAAACTAGTGCTTTTGTACAGAGATATTTGAGCCAGTGTTTTCCCATTTAATTTTTGTGCTAATTCAGGTTTCTGCACACAGAAGCTTGCACAACTTACAGCTATGATGCCATCTGCTAATTAACTGATTTTACTTTGTTATTTCTTGGGCAAAACCTCTGTTGTCCATTGATGCACTATTGATTCTTGATTCTCGATCTGGTGAACCGAAACTAAACACCAGCAACATGTATTGGCTATGAGAACAGAAAAATAGAAAGTATGTAGCTAAAAGCGACTGAATGCAAGAGTTACAGTCATCGTCAGAGATGGAGGAAAGCGGTTTTAATAGTGATTTTCTACATTAGTGCGAAACATCATCATATTTTCACTTCATTATTTAAAAATCACTTTATGTGCCTGTAGCTGCTACATAATACTCAATATTGGTACATCATACTATCAGAACAGCCCATTATGCACATTGAAGGTTAGCAACGGCCAGAAGGGAAACATGACATTTTCCCCACAAGTTGGGCTTATGGGACAACACATGACTGACAGGCAAAGTTTAACATCATTTTCCAAATGGAAAGTTCAATATGTTGACTTGAAGACAACAATTAAAACTAAAATAAATTCACTAAATTCAGGAGTTCTGTGGAGCAATGCAAGAACACTGCCCTTTGGGAACTAGCTTCAAATCCAGTGTGTAAACTGATGGAATGTCGTCTCTGAAAAAGAGTTAGATCGCCAATCCTGCTTCGTCTAAAAAAACACAACCGTCTCCAAGTTTGCACCAGCTGGATAGTTGGTAATCTCTGTCAAGAAAACCTTTACGGATTATTTGCATATTAATACAATAAATACAAAATTACATTTGTATAGTGCCTTTCATGTTGGGATGACATCCTGAGCTGGGATCGGAGAGGGTGGAAGGCAAGGAGCGTAGCCGAAGGCATGGTTCGAAGAAGAGGGTTTTGAGACGCGCCTCGAAGGAGGCAAGGAAGGGAATGAGGCAAATGTGAGTTGGAGTTCCATAGAGTGGGGGCAGAAAGGCTGATGGCCCAGCCGCCGATGGTGGAGCGGCCCGAGCATGGGACATGGCGCAGGCCAGAGCCTGCTGAGCGGAGAGGTAGATATGGGGTCAGCAGGTTGCAGAGGTAAAGAGGGGCAAGACCGTGGAGGGCCTTGAAGGCGAGGAGTTTGAACTCTCATCCTCTGGAGGATGGGGAGCCAGTGGAGCCAGGTGAGGGTAGGGGTGATGGGGTCACGGAGTCTGGTGCGGGCGAGGACCTGAGCTGCAGAGTTCTGGATAATCTGCAGCTTGTGGAGGAAAGAATTGGGAAGCCGCCAAGCAGGGAGTTGGTGTAGTCAAGCCTAGATATGATTAATGAGTGGACGAGGGTTTCAGCGGGCCGAGGGGTGAGGCAATGTGGAGCCAGGTAATGTTGCGGAGGTGGTGGAAAGGCAGAACAGGTCATGGCATAGATGTGAGGTAGAAAGAACAGTTGATAATAAAATAACACTCATAAGAGCTGCCCGTCCGAGGTTGAAGTTAGGGAATAGTATAGAAGCACAAGTTTCCTTGGAATCCAATAATGATTTATCTGAAATGGGAGTGTGAAGTATTGAATGTGAACTTTCACTTTAAGCACCATCGTGACTGACAGTAATACGGCACAGAAACCATTCAACCCAAATAGTGTTTATACTCCACACGAATCTCAGCCCCTCCTATACCCCTTCTCTCTCATACATGGATCAAGTTCTCTCTTAAATTATGCGAATTTCTTCAACAAAGTTTCCCAGCTGCGAGTTACACATTCTTACCACGTGTGAAGAAGATTCTCCTAAAGTTCCTTTTACCATTAGCTATCTTATGGTTTTGCCCTCTAATTGTAGACTCGCAAACAAGTGAAAACGGCCTACCAACTTCCACCTTATCAAGTCCTTTCATAAATGGTGCAACATTATTCCCCCCAAATTTGAAGCACAAATATACATCACTTCAAGAGAGAAATAAATACATAATTAGATTACTGCATAATATTTCACACTAAAAGATTTGATTTACAGTCTCACAAAATATGTTCTCAACAATGTTAAGCCTTTTATTAGCTGCTCTATCACAGTGAATCACAACTGCAAACGTGTCCTTTATGTTTGATCAAATGGAATTTAAATATCTTAAATAGTCAATACCATACACACCTCATTATGCTCTACAGAACAAAGGGACCAACACTCTGGGAGACATCATTCTGGTTGGATAAAACAGACAATGCACATCTGTAGCCTAGGTTTTCCCCTGTTCTGTGAGCCATTAAAAGTGGTAATTCATTGTGGTTGCTTCAGTAATATCAAGTTAAACAACACTCCCTGCAACATTTCTAATCTCTTACTGAAACGCAAGCACCCAGTGAAGACAATATGAACATCTGCAGATGAATGTTTTGTCATCAAAACAAATATCGATCGGCAACACCCTGAAACCTCAAAGTCAAGCTGGATTTTCACCAGCAAGCGGCTTCAGTCGCGGTGTGCTAAATCTGATCATCGCGTAGGTAGGACTGACTGAACCCAAACACTCAAAAGATTGACTGAGCCACAGGTATCACCCACTGTAAAATACCTGAAGTGGATTGATGAATGTCGAATGCTTCAAGGGGTACTAACAGCTGATGAAGTATCTTGTACCACATTTGGGGACAGTGCTGTGTACAGTGATGTCAGTTGCACTACATCTGTGCTACACTTTGTGTGCTCTTCTGTTTCATAACAGCGACCTTTACTCACCTCTGAGTCGACTGAAAAAAAAATTGCACGCAGGTACTGTACGAGTGCAGCATAAATTCTCTCCACATGAAATACCTCTCAATGTTTGGACTTTGAGAGTCTTGACAATTATGGATTGATTTTTAAAAACAATTAATCCCCAGGTATCAGTTCCAATTAGCAACAGAAACTGAAAGTCCTGATACAGCGATTGCTAAGATAAGCAAGTTTCGGCTTGCTCTTAATACAATCAACTGCATAATTAAGAAGCTTCCATAACATGTCACCATTGTTAGTTAAAGGGGCCTTGCCTTCATGAACAATGTTTGGCAAAGACTTGCTTCCATCAAGCAGAGGAAGGGAAACTGGGTAAATTTTGTGAGGACATCACACTCACGTAATGAAATCATACATTTCAATGTGATTTACATCATCACTTTATAATAATAATTTGACATTGCGCCTTATCACGTCTTCGAGACATCTCGAAGCACTTCAGAATATACTGTAAAGCGAACTGATTGTATTTTGTGGGCAAAACACTGCAGCCAATTACACAGCAGTGTCACACAATCCTGGATTATCTGGTCTGCCATGCTAACTGGTGACCACCGCACTGTGAAGAGCTTGTATTTGGGGATGTTGAGCGAGGAGAAGATCACGATGGGTTGTTACTCCCCCTTTGGATAATGACTCCCAATGTAGCTTCACCAGCAATTTCGACAAAGTTTTGAAGAATGCCTTTCTGCTTACAGTGAAACGCCTTCAAATTGTAATCTAACATTTGATCAGATTTGTTGACAGCAGCTTCACGTTTCAGGAAACCTCCAGCAAATAATCAATAGTTATCCAATTAAATGCTTTTGCTTTTCCACTTCTCCTAATGGACAACTATAGATAAATCAAATGCAAAATTTATAGTTTGAATTCATATTCTCAAATGTAACTCAGTAGAATTTCACCCAAGTTACAAATGTATACGAAAACACAAAGATTAATAAAACTTCAAAGAGACAAGTGCACTCATACAGGTAATTGATTTCGATGGGGATTTGTTACTAAGCAAACAGAGGCAACACTGTGACCATGATAAATTGTCATGCACATCAGTAATGTACCAGATATTCCTGGAAACAGCTTTCATCAGATTTATGAATGTTGCTCTCTTTCATACTCTTTAACTACACCCTAGTCAGCCAATACTGATGAAATGAGAACTCAATGGGCAGAATCTCATTTTCCTATGTACATGCACATGCCTTCGTCAATACCCTTTGATCTCAACCTGAAAGAAGGAAATCCAACTGGTTCTTGCATCATTCCTTTCCTATATCTCATTCCTAAAATATTATTGCTCAGCTGTTTTGTTCAAGTTAGGGTGTCAGTGCTGAGAATGAATCACCAAACATTTCACACCCAACGTCAGAATCAGACACATGGAGGCCAAATGCAGAGGAAAACACTCTCTTCTTCGCCTTGACAATAACCTGCAAAGTCGGTCCAGTTTAGATCACTCCGTAGAGTTAGTTTCTAAGTAGTTTTTAGTGATGGGTCAGCCAGACCAATAGACTGCCATGGAACACTTTAATGGATGCTACTTTTCTTAGTATATTTGAACTTCCCAAAATAACTGCTTTCTGTGGGAGGTGGACATTTGGTGCACCAGGTATCTTGACAAGCCATTTCTGAACTGTCTTGTTAATGATTATAAGAACTATGCTAATTTTGAATGCCACATGCGTCCACAGTTAATTTGTATGTCTTCTTGATCTTCTCCAGTTCCTTATATTTTAGTCACTTGGAATGGCCACATCAATGATACGTGTACAATCTAGTTGTTTTTATGATGATATCTGGTTTGTTACTGTTCTATCTAATGCACTTGTGAATCCCAGATTATTAGGACATTACATTTTGATAACACTTTTGCTGGTTAATGATTGATCCTTACATCAATGCCAAAGTGTTTACAAATTGTTCAGTGGACATATGAAGCTACATTGTTATGTTGATTCAGATACTCAGGTGGCACATGATGACAATACGTGGTCTACTGTTTCTGGTGCTTGATGGTATATTTGGCATTTCAGATCAGTGTTTTTCTTCAAAAGCTTATTTTCATATAACAGGTTGTCATCATAGCTTCATCTTGTGCTGATAATATAAGAGCTTGTGTTCATCAAGGGGGAAAGTTTTAATCTCTGCCCTGGAGCTCTGGGCAGTTGGACTGTATGACTGCACTGACATGAGAGGATCATTAATTATCAGTTTGCAGGTATTAAAAGTATTTTCTGACTTGACTTACTTCTCAGCTCATTAAGCTTAGTCTTTTGGTTCAAGGGCATAGAAACTGCTATCTTTCCTGAATCACAACCACAGGTCTTAAATCATCATTGTTCAAATGCCACCACACGTTTACTACAAAGAGGATTAAAGTTCATAAAGAGGGCATCTTAAAGTTCTATGACAAATATTTAGAACTGAAACACTGATTGAGAGTTATAAAAAGATATTATCCAGCACGTCTGCGTAAGTGTTCAGTCTACACTGGTGTCAAAACATCAGCTATTCTGAGAGTGTGACATAATTTTTTCCCAAAATATCTACTGTATTTTTACTGTTTGGCTCTAACATCATTGCTGACAACTCTGACCCAAAAGTCAAATAATTTTCAAAGCAAATTATGTTCAAGTTCAATTTGTAATATCTTTTACCTATGTGCCTCTGAAGACATTAACTGAGGTTCACAGACAGGGCTCAATTTCCATTGAGCATGGGAAGAATTTGCCACACTACACAAAAACACTTTGAGATATTTTGACATGATAAATCAAATGCAAGGAATATTAATATAGACTCAAAATATTATCACATTAAAACACTTATTTTGCCCTCAAGAACAGTTAACGTCATCAAGTCCAAGTTCATTTAAGGAATTAATACTGCTCTCCACCCTGGAGCAAACACCTATTACTTTCTTCCTATTAATGCAGGCCTGTGGGAAGCATTGAGAAAGCTTTAAGGCCATATTGCAGTCTGTCTTGCAACTTAGTCTTTTGCATCACATAATGTCAAATCTGCCACATTTTGCCAGACTAATATTTATGACTGACTGATTGATCCTGCATCGCAGTAAAACAGCAAAAGCCTTGATATACAGGCTCACCGCAGTGATACAAGAGCAGATCATAGGTCCACTTACCCGCCGATTATAACAGGATAGTAAAGAAACAACTAGCTTCACTCCTCTCCCACAATCAGCCAACCATTTCTACTGCAATGTGCAGTCAGTGTTGATCACCAGGTTCATGGTAACAAGGTACAGGGATTGGCCAAATGGCTGGGAATATCCAAATCTATAGTAACACAAAGCACAATTTTTTTTAATAAGTACAGAAATTCAAATGAGATGGAATGGGCTTACGGTTAGCAAGCGGAAATTTATACTAATCTTTGCATTTGTTACCATGTCATTGAAATGTCTCAAAGTTATTCACAGGATATACTGTAAAGTGGGTTCACTGTTTATTTTGTGGGTGAACACAGCAGCACACAGCATTCTCCCACAAACAGCCATGGAGTCAGTGACCAACTTGATTTGGGGGATTTGTTGACCAGGACACTGGGAGAAACTCCCTTCTCTTTTCGAATAGTGCCATGGGATCTTTAAAATCCACCTGAATAGGCAGACAAGACCTCGGTTTAGCGTCTCATCCAAAGAACACGATTACATTCTGGGTCGTGTTCTTGTTTGGTAAAAAAAATTTTATCCATAATAATTAAAAGCTACAGGTATAATTTGTGCAACCAATTACATTTGGACTAAGTTATCTTTTGTGTCTGAAATTTGATTATATTCTTCCAGCAAATATAATAATTTAATACGCAAGATAGCTAATTTGAGTACAATGTTTGGCTGTTGGTGGGGGAACTGATTCACAAATCTCATTGTGAATATGCAACAAATTCATCTATTGGGCTTCTTTCCACATTGCTGGTTGTTTCTGTTCAATTCTAATTATAGAAATCAACTAATGAAATAGCAAGCAAACAATAACTCTTTCTAATAACCTCTCACTGCATGCACTGTTGTAATCTGCCTTTCACCAATTTGGACCTCATGTGAAAAGCGTTACCTTGGAGCTCACCATCACACTTTGTACTGAACACCATTTGAAAACATTGGCCCTAAGTTTACTTGGCTCATTATAATAGTGGAAAGATCGTGGGTGATATAATGCTGATTTTACCAAGGATACACTACAAACTGCAGAAAAATAGCTTCAAAACCAAGGCTGAATTTAAGAATTTTACAAACTTTTAGGATGACTCTCTTAAGATTAAGACTACGAGATATGATGGGTCTCTTGGGATCAGGAATGGAAAGTCATACTGGTGCATTCGGAATGTCTTGCAATAATGGACATAATTCAGTTAAAGAGAAAGCTTCCATTCAGCAACCAGCTTATATCATACCATGACTAGGGTGGAAAATATGAAATGATTTCTACCACCTGTATAGATATCGGTTATGCAGTGATATAAATAAAATTACTGATTGCTAATATATGCATCCTATTCTGGGGAAAAATATGATTAAGAGTTCATTTACCTCGCCTTTTGTGATACAACTGGAAAACTACCTCTCACACTGACCAAATCGCAGGCTCACAATTTGTTTCAGTACCAGCACTCTAATTTGCATTCTTATCATGAATCAACAAGATTTGGCATTGGAAACAAAGCAAGATACACAAGAACGTGTGGAAGGTCAGTATCGATTAGGAGTTCTATTTAATCATCAGAATTCAGCTTCCATTCAGAAAAACTCAATCTCTACCTGCGTTTACACCACTTTAACCCTTATTATTTTGCAATATCTGCAGGAAAATGTTATCTCATTAGTGATCCATACAAGGTTTAAATAACTTATTTCAGCTTATAGTCAAACACACTCAAGATCCAATCCAACAATTGATCAGCTTTGCTGACATCAGCTTCACTTTGATTGGAAACCTTTAGTGAATGATCAGTAATTGCATTCAAATCCTTTTCTTTCTCCACCTCTGTCTTATGGGCACTCTTTTTAAAATTGTACACAGTTACTGGTTCTTGCTCTGTTAAATATTATCTTGCATTTATCGGCATTCGACTATCCCTGTCACGCCTTGACCCTTTTGCTTAAATCGGTGCATGTTACTAAAGGTGATTTATCCTCCTTATATTTAACTGCCCACATAGTTACAAGTGATAAGGGGCCACAAGAAATCTATCATTTTGTGGCAGCCTTCAAGACTGTATATAAATGCAGTTAGTTCCTGGCGGAGTGGTGAAACAAGATCTTTATCTTCTACTCCCAGCAATTCTCTGTTCGATAGTTCCTATTGTCAGCCGCAGCATCTCTGGGTTTCCCCAACTGAGGCCAAAACACTTTCACTCAGCAGCACTAAATATAAAACGTACCGGTTACGTTTCATCCGATTGACCCTCTTGCACCTTTTAAACCACATTTATCTTGTAGGATGCTTCAGACCCAGTTAAAATAGAACCAGTTCTGAAGTACCTCTCTGAGGCTACCAGATCACATCTTGTTTACTCTGTGGTGCAGATAACAAAGCACCACTGGGATTGTTGGCATGGCACGAGCATACACTGTTGTTCCAAGTTATGACTGTAATTTTCTCGCCAGACCTCTTCTGATTTCTCGGTGAGATCTCTGCAGGGCAACAATTCCAATAACTGACTGGTGGCAGAGGCCAGCTCAGCCCAGCCCAGCCAGAGAAACATGGTGGTTATTGGGCCTGTAGCCAGCAAGGGGGGCCATTTATCCTGCTTCCCAGCTGCTGCCATCTCCAGAGGTTGGATGAAGATGCCTCCCACATGCAAATGTTAAGCACCTCTAATCGCAATATCTCATTTATATCGCGTCACTGTTGCCAAATGGAGTTCTGCAAGTGTAACATGCACTGTGATCAAGACTGGATTCAGCAGAGGTGTGTGGCCTGGTTACCTACTTACCTACCCATTCAGCCGAGAGCAGCTGAACGACACAATGATCTAAAAAAGAAGCACATTAGATTCGCAGAGATCACACACCACCTGCAAAAAAACATTTCCTGTATATTTACCAATGCTTAAAATACCTAAGAGTTTAATTTTGCTTCCAACACCCATATGCCTCATCAAGGATTATTCATAACCTCAGAATCATCATTTTCTAATAAATTACTGATGAGCAAGAGATGGAGAGGCTGCAACCAGTTGTTCTCCAATGTTCACTGCCGCACAGCAATCCTGCCCATAATAATAATAATCCTTGTATTTGATATAGCGCCTTATCACGTCTTTGAGACGTCTCAAAGCGCTTCATAGAATTTACTGTAAAGTGAATTAACTGTAAATTTTGTGGGCAAAACCAAGAGGTTATGCCAAGTGTTGGAAGGCATAAGGGGCTAATGACCAGAGAGGAGATTTCATCCCTGGAGTCCTTTACTGGTAGTTCAAGTTTCACTGGCTTCAGGCCAAACACTGGCCAAACTCGCTCAGTTAGAAAGATGATTTTGTTATGTAATTATTTCCAGTTAATAGCTTCCCCAAAAAAAGACATCGCCTTGCTTCCTTGTTATTGGTTTATTTAAAATTTGCTTTGTTTGTGAAATGCGGTGGATACTGAGTGGAATTGGTGGAATGTGGATGGGGAAAGGATCCTGGGAATCAATAACACCTCAAAAACCAGTGTTCAGCCTCTTAATTCAGAGCAGAAAGAAAATCACAGATTACCTAACAACACGATGCATTATTCTCCTAGCAAAGGATACACAAGTTCCATCCTTTGATAGGCCTGTCACATTCTCCAGAATTTCAAATAGCAATTGGTGTCACAATTCTTTCTGATGCCCAGGAGTAATCCATTCATTATTCAGCAGCAAAGGTAACATCCTTACTTCTCAGAGGAGGATATGTAAACCCAGCGTAAAGACTGAGAATACACAGCAAACTGCAGGCGTTACCACTGAAGCCACTTATTTGGTATGTTGTGTAAATTGAATTGGTTCCATTTTTCAGGTTTTATATTACAGGACAAAAACAGAAAAAAGAGCTCACTAAGTCTTTTCCTCCTTGAAGCAAAGTTTACATTAGCCAACATTACCTGAAATATTTCTATCGTTTCATTCAACTTTATGCAGGTTGACTGCTTAATAGCCGTTACCATGATTATGTATCAAACAAGCAAGAATGGCAAACGAGCCTTAAAATACAGATATGGTCCATTTTATAAACAAGATATTGTGAAAAATAAAACCCACTCTATTACAGAGTCTGAATCCCTGATAATAATCCTTCCATTTGAAATAGCGCCTTATCACGTCTTTGAGACGTCTCACAGCGCTTCACAGTATACTGTAAAATGAATTGACTGTATATTTTGTGTGCAAAACTCTTTCGAGAGTCAAGTCTGCAGCTCTCAAAAGATTGTTTTGGGGAGAAAGAAGAGGACCAGTTATTATTCGATAAGATAGCTATTATCGTAAAATCAGTTTGGATGAAGAAGGCCCTTCAACCCATCTGATCTCATCCTTCCAGAATACATTCCCTACTGTCCTTCCATCACAGCATTAAGCGCTTTTTCAAGATCTATGCGATTTCCGCAGGTCCAGGATATTTCAAGGAATGGCTTACACTGAAATTATTCTCAAATTGGAATGTCAGCCTCAGCCATTGTCACTTTGAGACAAGATGAATGAGTGCGACTGAAAGTAGACCTGGCATGTTTACAGCAGCGATCAATTTATTTTTGTGATGTGGTTGATCTGCAGAATAAACAATTAAGTCAGCTTCAAAACTAGGACATGTCATTGTGCAATTCTAAATCTGATGAGATGCTATGAGCAGATAATGGCTGCAATGCCCAGAAAGAAACGGCACTCATATTGTTTTCGAGCTGTACAAAAAAACAAGATATTGTTTGTACCACTGACTTGATCATATAATTAATGAAGCAACAAAGAAGCCCCATTAGATTGGAATAAAATCTCCCACAGAATTATCTATATTGGAAGGTTTACTTTGTCTGCCCACACAAATGGAAAAAAAACAAAGAAGACACAGGAATAAAATTGATTTAGTTAGTCTGATCCTCATCTTGGGAACAAAGACTGGGTTTTAACCACAACACCCTCCTCTGAAGATTACAAATGAGATTTACCAATTACTATGTCAGAGCAATGCAAAATCAGCAAAGATTTCACTATTTGAATAATTGTGACAACTCTGCAATTGAATACATTTGAAAAATAACAAGGTAATTGGACTCTTTAGGAAAAATAAGAAAAAATGTGGGGCTAAAAAAAGCCATTTAGATCACTACATTATTTTTTATATTTTAAGAATGTACTGTGTGCAATGGCTGCCGCGCTTTGTCCAGAAAACACTCAGTCACTCCACTTTACAGTATACTCAGTGAAGCGCTTTGAGACGTTTCAACAATGTGATAAGGCGCTATATCAAATGCTAGTATTATTATTACTTTGTTCAGTACAAACCCAGACCACTTTGTTCTCTTGTGCCTTGATACCATGCCTGTGTGCCTCAGGTTCAAACTAAAATCTCCCTATTGTATGTGAAGTAGGGCATGAAATATTAACTTATTTCAAACATCAGTGCATTTTCAGATTTTTGCATAAATTGGAAGCAAATTAGTCACTGTAGTAGTTAGCCCTCTCCATATATTATTCATCTTACTCGGCTTGCTTATTTTCTATTTGGTTTTACATCCTAAAAAAAATCCAGCCAGATATTTCTTAAAAAAAGTTTTGAGTGAAATGTCACTTGGGATTGATAGTACCTCTCTAAACATGCCATTGATGTAGTGCTTCATCTTGCGAATGAGAACTATATGATAAGGGCTAAGCACAATCCAGGACTCGATAGGTAATTTCAGAAGGAATTGATCACAGGATTTAGACATGTCTGACAAGGACATGATCGGACACAAGCCAGGGGGATACTTCCTTCCCCTCTCCTCAAGTTGCCAACAGCTCCTCACAATCAAGGATCTCAGATGAAAAATAACCTCTTAGGTGAGCTAGCAAAAGGCTGCCAGCCGGAGTGAACATTTAAGAGAATGGGAGAAAATTGGAAGAATAATTGTGTATGCCAGTCTAAACATTTACATCTTTACGTTTTGTTTCTCTGAAGGTGTTTTAAATGTATTCATTCTGAGCAGGGGAACAGCAAACGCAGGATCATCTGTAACAAACCTTCTGATTGAGGTGCAATCAACATACATTTTACTGCCTCTCTCATGGCAAGCAACCATTTCCTGCATTCCTTTTGTGTTCCAACAATCAGAACCATTTCAGCGGCTCCAAAACCAGTTCAATGGTCAATTTGACCTACGAGCAAACTGTCCGCTTCTTTTGATTTTGATTTAATGAGCACGATTCAACAGGCAAACGTAAAGTGCGAAACGAGAAATGGCCACTCAGCCAGCTGTGCACAGTCATGCAGAACCAATCAACCACTTCATCTATTCACTCTTCCGTATTGTGCAGATTCTCTCTGAATCCCCCCAAAAAACTAAATGAAAGCCACTCCCACATTTCTGTGATTCAATCCTGACCTCCTTCAATTCAGAAGCGCTACAAAAGAGTTATTTTGAACCAATCCCTCCTCCAATTCAATCTCAGTGACTTGAAATCACTGTGTCTCGTGGAGTATTTGCTCAGTACAATCTATACCCATCCTGCAATACTTCTTCCAATCAGATAGATACCCAGTTTTTTGCTCAGCACAGGAATTTCTGCTGGCATGAATTTGGGTGAAATTAAGATGAAGCCAGCTTGAACTATTCCCTTCTCTAATTCCTCATTTTTCTTCTCTCGGGAAAGGTGTTTGCACCAAGTGTGAAAACACTTGAGTTTTCCAAAGGAGAAGTGATCTTTGGTTACATTCTTCTTAAGAGCAGCCTTGGCAAGTTACCAGATCAAGAAATGTCCTAAATTAGGGAATGGGGGAGGGGCTAGGGAGAGAGAAGGGAAATGACAGAAATGAAAGGTGAAACATTTATATTAACACTTGCATTTGATACAGGGCTTTCCCCACAAGGGAAAGTCCATTAAGCCTGGTTGTCCAAATCCATCTGATTTGTGCATCATTACATATAGTTATGCAGATGCATTGCAAATTGTATCAGTAAGCCATGCACGTCGTGATGGCTTTTGTAAAAAGACTTAAGTATGCAGCTTGCAAGACAGGGGAAGATGTAATCATATCCAAAAGCATCAACGATCACACAATGCATCTGCTAAACATGCTTTGAGGGGAATCATAAAACATATTTCCAATTTCAGTCTAATTTGATGTGACATCAGAGTTGACCACTTTGATGGCTGTAATCGGAAGTCTGAGTTTCATTGAGAGCAAAAGGATAGAGATTTCTATTAGGCTTGCCATGCATTTCCATTTCTGAGGATCATCTTCTATATTTTAACCTGTTTCATGACAATGAGCAATACAAGCTTTCTTCTCTCAAACAGAGTAATGGAAAATAAAGATGCAGTATTGTGTAGAAGTCGCAATACAGCTAATAGGTGGTGGTGTGGCAGGGAGATTCCCTTTCAGGGGTAACTGAGCATGGACTATGTGTGTGTGTATATACACGCATATATATACACACACACATATATATATATATATATATACACACACACACATGCATATACATTCATATACATATACATATGGAAGAATGGCTTCAATGCATCCTGGAACAGATTTACAGCCATGATTCCCCACAAACAAATGAACTTCCATGATACACCAATTTTAACCTCAAAATCCTTCCCATTCTCCTTTCCTCTCCTTCCATCCCCATGTATACCAGGCACAATACAGAGGAACAAAAGCCACAAAAATATCAGTTACCTGGACCATGCTCAGCAGTTGATGACAAAGTGGCAATGGTACACACATTTCCAGGATGTCAGATAATGCATCATTAATTTACAGAGGCTGGGGCTGGGAAACTAAGGATGCAAAAGATCTCATTATTCAAAAAGATAAGAATGTCATTGCCAGAAATTCTTCAAATTAATTGGCCATTCATCCAAGGGTTGTTTGTGGGATTCTGTGCAAATCCCTGCTCAATTTGCCTATGAAAAACAGCAACTTCACTCAATAATAATTACCTGTGAGGCACTTTGAGAAATTTCTATGTGATAAGGCGCTATCAAAATGAAAGTCCTTTCACGTTCTCTTAACTACTCCACTCAGGCAAAGTTTTCTTTATTCCACATTTATTATGTATGAAGAATCAGGAGTAAGAGATGCACAACTGTCAGGAATTCTGAGTGCCACTTATTTTGTAAAACAATGAGATTTTGGAGAAGTTTCAGATATTTTATGCTTTAGAACTGGTCAGAATTCACACTAGTCCCCAAAAAATTGCACTGTTAGAATTCCATTTAAAATATTGATCATTCTGGCACAGAGGAACAATGATTGTACGGTCATTGGTTTATATAGTTAATGGAATTCACCTGGGGCAGTAGTGCACAATTAGCCTCAGTGCCCGCAAGTGATGGGGTTGGGGGGGTGGGAAGAGGACAATATATTTAAGATTTCCACACCTGATCATTATGCAGTGAACCGGAAAGTATGCATATAGATGTCCATGAAGATAGTATCAGATGCAATTGCAATGTCCCCCATTGTCAAACAGTTTGCCAATTCTCACAGGATTGTCTCACACAAGAAATGGCTCTTTGGGTGAAGCAATGATGGAACTGTGCTTCAGTCTCAGTACCAATCAGCACCTTTAAGAAAGGAGGTGAGAAAATTGTAAGGGAAGAAAATCACAGATTATTTACACTGACACTATCTCTTCCAAACTCAAGCTCCTTTGGGACCCACTTACCAAGCTTTCAACATCAATGAGTGACACTTATGATCTTCAAAAGTGACATAGATCGCAAACCCATTTAAACACATGGAGTGGAGTTTATTATTAAAAGTGATGTACATCAAAATAGGTCCCATTTTGAACCAAAATGAGTAATTGTCACTCCTAATGAGCAACATTTGGCAGATCTGCACTTCGTTCCATCCACAGAGACCACAAAATAAGTCCTGCTCAACTGCTTTCATATATTATATATATATATATATATATGTCACACAATGTCACACAAGAGCCCAGAGAGACAGAATGGAATGTAAATAACAGGAAAAAATTCAGGGAATCTGAAGTGTTTCATAACTCATCTTCTGTTGTCCTCTACAGAGATCTTTCAAATAACTATATTTACCAACTTCCCTTGCTCCCTCCCAAAGGTGTGAAAAAACATGGGTTCAAAAAGTGTCACGTGCAAAACAGAATCTCAAATACAATCACAGAAACTTCATAGAAAAGAGGTAGCCCATTCAGCCTGTTGAGTTTGTGCTGGAGCTCCTTAATTTAATCCTAATTTAGATGTCCATCACCAACTGGTACTGAGTTTGTTGGCAAAAAATATATATTTTTAAAATATGGCAACAACGTTTATTTTTCATACCAATACTTAAGAATGTAGGCCCTTAATTATGAAACAATTGAAAAATAATCTCTGGTACTAGTGAATGCAAGTTGAAGTATTTTCCTAATTTAATAGTTAATAAAGTAACAAATAAAAAAAATGGTCACTCATTTCATGGCTGTTTGTGGGACATTGTAATGGAGTCCTGTAGCTTACTGGTTAGACAGCTCGCCTCTCAACCAAGAGGACTTGGATTAGATTCCCGGCAGGGCGAAACACTGGGCAAGTTTCCTTACTCCACATGCCTCTGTTCGCCTAGCAGAAAGTAGGAACCCAGTTATTAGTCAATTAGCGGATCGCTTTTCCGGGGCAATAAATTTTTTTAAAAATGAACAACAGCAACAACAACAACAAGATTCCATTTATAAAGCGCCTTTCACGTCAGGAGGACGTCCCAAGGCGCTGCACAGTTGGGTCATGACCCGAGCAGGGGGGAAATGGTCAGGGTGAGGGGAGGGAAGGGAGCGAGCGAGGAGGGGGAAGAGAGTCGAAAGGGGAGCTGAAGGCTCGGTCAAAGAAGTCACTCAATCCATGTGCAATTGGCTGCCGTATTTCGCCCACTAAATATACAGTCAATTCACTTCACAGTATATTCTGTGAAGCGCTTTGAGACGTCTCGAAGATGTTATCAGGGACTATATCAAATGCAAGGATTATTATATGTATTATTTGTGGCTTAGAGGGGAAATTTTACTAAATAATGTTTTCAGCCACAAGGAGCAGCAACCTAAGAGCTGCCCTTGTTCACTGGCTGAGTTACTGATCTCAGCCCCGCCACAGCGAGCAAATGCTATTGAGAAGCCGGACACTTGCCCTTGGTAGGGGGGGAGGGGAGGAAAGAGGAAAACTGCTGGGAGGAAATCTCCCAGAACTGCTCTCAGGCACCACCTCGTGGTCAGTTACATCATTAACCATCAGAGGCAGATTCTCACCCAGAGGCAGGAGCATGAACTCTCATCCTCTACAGTTAACTAACAGTACAATGGCACTTGTTGGAGTGCTCAGTTATATTCCTGCTGTTACACATACCTTATTTCTATTCATATATACAACGCAGGCTGCAAAATTGATAATTACCACTCCCAATGATGCTGCCGCTAACTTTTGTCTGGTCGTGTTTTCACTTTGTGCCAGGTTATGGCAGCAGCGGGTTAAGCTTGCCGAGAAGATCAAAGTCCAAATTAGCTGAGGTCCCATACACTTCGCCTGGGTTGCCTCTTCCACTACCCACAAGATACTTGATGGTGAAGCAACATTCTGTGGTCTGTGGTGCAAGTAGCAGGAACCAACGCCACATTACTGGAGTGTGACACAGCATAGCCTCCCAACCGCCATTTAGTTACCTACCCAATTCTATTATCTCAGACTGGCAGGAAGATACGCCACATGTGCAGTGAAGTGAATAAAAAAAATTAAAGACTGTCTGATCACGTTTTCTGTATCACAGTCAAAGCACTAATGAGTAGAATGGTCCTAGCTGCGCAACCAGTGAAAAGCTTGTCAAGCCAGTGCTTTCAATGGTGAGTTGTGCGGTTTTAGCTGGTTAGACTACAGCAATACCGCAGCACGCACTCTGGGGTTCTGAAACCTAGAATCATTGCACCTATTTGTCTCCAGAATTAGCAGATTGCATTCTTACAGGGAAAGAGTGCATATCATATCCCAAATATGGGAATTCACAAATGTAGCTGGCATGCGAGGAACTCTCAGTCTGGTTTGGATTCTCTTAAGCACAATGATGGGTCAGACACTCGGCTGACAATAATAAAACATTCTGCATCATTGCACAGTGATTGCACAACGATTGAACAGATGATGCAATTTGTGCATAACTGTAAATGTACAGTAGCAATAAGAGTTTCCAAGAAAACCAGAGATAAATGGTGGTAGGGAGGTAGAGTGGATGGGCAGGGGGGAAGAGAGGTATTGTAAGCAGAATTCGGCTGGTGTATAGATAAGGTTCAATTTAGGTTACATGCGATTGCTGCAAGACTTCAACCTGAGGCCTCACCCGGAAAGTCCAGCGTTACATCACCTGCTATGGGCAGGAATGCAGGTGCAAAGCTCATTTCATTATTGGGCTATAATTGATAGAAGGTTGGGTTTGTAAGTACTTTCGACTTGTCATTATTTAACAGTATCAGAATGACTCAAAGTTGGAAAGTTACAAATATTTATCAGAAAGATCATTTGTTCATTTAATACATTACGTTATGCAGCTGTGACTGGTTTCAAACAGCAGAAGTCCATTTAAAACTCAATGATTTTCCACACACACCACCCAGTTGAGGGTGGCACCCATTGCTATTTTTCCCCAAGCAATGGCCTGCACAGAGTTTACCTGGAGCTTTATGCAGCTCTGCACCAGAGGCAAAAGCTATACAACCTAACTTTGAAACTGTGTTCCGTGCAATGACCTGGTAGTCAACAAACTGAATTCCGAAGAGCTGGCTGTCTCAGATAAATCCGAAGCAGACTTGCCACGCACACATTATTTGAAGCATCCCTGTGCTATAAAGGATCATAAATGATCAACCCCACAAGAGCTAAGTAAGCTTTGCTGGTAGTCAAAGCATGATCTAGTCAGAGGACATCTGCAAATTCCTCGCATTTTCTCAATTAAAGTGTGCTCCTGAGATGGAGAGGAAGTAAATGATTCATAAACGAGGCCAAGTCTCTGAAAACACTCATAAAAATAGCAAGGCAAGCCAGACCCCAGTATAGATTGTAAAAACTAGGAACTAAGAAGCTGGAAAACTAAACAAAAAGGAAATCAAAATTGAATGGGAGTCTGTTTTAGAGATGGGTGGCAATGGGATTCAAACTCAGAACAGGCTGGGCCACATCTGCTTGAGACACGCACACATCATTTAGAATAGCAAGTAAACTAGCAATGTAACTTTAGCCAAATCTTAGGGATCACATGGGATGTCACTATAAACCCTTCACAGATTTGCTCTCACAGGTTATAATGCTATTTGAGGCTTGTGATAATGCTGCAGTCTCGTTTCCTGTGTTCAGGTTTTAAATTATTCCATCTGTCGTCTTCAAACCACTTGTAACCATACAAATAACAGGGAAAGATCTATCAGTGTTCCATGTTAAATGTCTACATTGTATTTGTGTCTCAAGTTTCTTTGAGACCCTTTGAGTGGAGGAATTGAATATTCATATTTCCCATCATCTGCCTCAGAGTTCCAGTGGGACCTTCAGAATTACAAAGAAAGACACTGTGGACTATGTGTGACACCGTTGATTACAGTTCATGTGCACAGTGCAAACTAACTGATAATTTATTGGCTGCAATTCATGACTATTAATCAAACCAACACCTCACACTGCCAAGAAGAGAGGGCTGCCACAAGTGTGACTAATTTACCATTGACAGATTCCACAAAGGATCACGGTTTATTTAGTTTTTTTTTAAAAATGCTGGTAAAAAGGTTTGCGTTATAAAACACGTTCAATCTGTTGGAATTATTGGATTGTTTTCTCATATTAGATAACAAAAACCATCAGGGGAATGACGGTGAAACCCCATTATTTGGCAGTATTCAGAGTCTATATAATCCCAACCCTCAGTAACAATCTCCAGTCAGCAAATGCACAGAAAACCGGACAGCTTTGTGTTCTACCCGCATTGAAAATGGCCAACTTCTGGATCATCGGGTCACTACCAATGTCACTTCCTATGTGGTAACTTGCAGGGAGTGAAGTTAGGTTGCCCAATGACCCGGAAGCAGTTTCTTTTAATATAAAAGGAAGCGGTTTACAATTGAGCCTGCTGGCTTTGGATTTCTTTGATGAATAAATCTCGGGATCCACACTCAGTTTGTGCTATAAGTGAAACTGTTTTGGAACAAAGCAGGTTATAATGGAATTCTACTGTTCCATGTTCAGTCAAGGTGTTTGGCTACTTTGGAGCATAGTTTATTGAAATTTTTCCTACACATTTTTCTATCTTCCAGTTAAGTTGACTCTTAGCAAACTATGTAACTCTACCCTTGGCACCACTTCCTCCAGATGAGATAGCCTGAATGAAGGCATCATCCATCTCCTTGGGATAGAATATTCCATTTCTCCCATTCAGCTCAGCCACAAACCACAAGATGTCTGGGTAAACAAGATAAATTACTCCCAACAGAAACCAACTCACTAATATATAAGAGTTGCAGTTATGAGGGCATTATGACATCTGGGCCACCCATTGAATAAACGTATGCAGTGTGCATCTGCCACCT